TAATGTAATAAGTATGAAAAGGAATGCTGAAGAAACGCAGATAGCAAAAAACATCAATTACAGTTAGCACAGTGGGAATATTATCTATGGCCCTAGTGAGATTAAACCTAAGCAGAAATTAAGGTCTCCGGACCTCTTGCAGGTAGCGCAATTCTATTTACGTTCCAGCTATTAACAAATGACTCTCCACCTACCTAGGAATATGCAAATAAATTATCATAGTAACGGTATAGGCCAACAAATTAGTCAAGCCATAGGGAGCATTAAAGCATAAAAATTTTTTGATTTTTACCACCGGAGCAATAGATGGGGACATTGCCGCTTATAGCAGAAGAGAGGGAGGCCGAGCAGGAAGATCCGGAAGAAGTGCCTGCATTAATATTTGGATCTGCTAAAGTAACTGCACAGGCTATACCAGACGTCAAGCCGAGGCCATTAGTCGAAGATAAAGGAGAGTCTGGGAGCCCCCCAGAAGAGGTGTTTACCATTGATCTAAAAGTACGTTCAAAAGAAGCATTAGAGAGAAGATAGGCGATAACTAGGAATTACGATCCTTCCTGACATTATTTGGCCGAATATATTGGTCAAATGTCAAAACGATTGTAAGGCAATAGAAAAGAGACAAAGAAAACGCGATAGCGATAAACATCAAATTTCTTATACACAAAAATTATAAGCAAGGGTCAAACTTAAAATAAAGTAAGGTAAACAAACCGTTTTAAAGGAAAAATGCGCACCTTAAGCAGATATTAGTAGGTGCTGGAAACGACAGAACAAGATATTTGAAAAGCGTGGGAAGTGTAAAAAGTGCTAGATGCTAAACCGTAATATATATTTTTTAGTTAACCTGAGCTTTTATAAATAATGTGCATAACATTGAAAATCATATTCAGATCTGTAGGAGTTGCTGCATTTTCATACTTCTAAAACCGTGTTGTTTTGAAAAATTTTGCTTTGCTGGTCTCGTCTATCTGCTGTCACTTGCACCTTTTTGGCTCTGACATTTATGGCTTTCCCCTCTACTACCTTTCGCCTCAGGTAGCTTTGATGTATTTACCTTCTCAGTCACTCTTCACTTTTACATCTTATTTCGAAAAGAAGCATAGGAAAATTCACCAGGGCCATATTCCCTTGGATGAATAGGCGAAAGCCTTACTGGGTTGATCAATTTGCGGACCCTTCCACTGACCACGATTTGAGTTTTGAAAACAATTTATTCTTGAAGCAAAAGCGCCTAGAAGAGCACTTATCCAGAGGTGAAACTTTGAGAGTTGGACTTAATTCACAGAATCCTTGGGTTAACGAAACCCAGCGTTGTGGCCTCGTTGCCATCAAAATTGGTATGTATCCTCTTTGGACAAAACAAGGAAGAAAATTAGACTGTACACTTTTGCAGGCAAGATCGCTTTTATATTAACTTTTTAGCTTAAGCCATTTGTGTTAATCTAACTATGTTGAGTGATTGAAATGGACAGGTTAATGTCTCCTTGAGTAGGCGCTTTACAAAAGTTCTTCCTAAGTTCCCCTTACATAG